TAGTAAGTACTTGGCTGAGGGAAGCTAGCCTTGTTTTTAACAAATAAATTATGCAAAATGATGTTTTATGTGCACTATTTAGTAATTCTCATTAGAAATTTTAAAAGTATTTACATATGAACAAAAACCAATACTTATAAATTAGATTGATTCTCATACATCTTTGTACATATTTAATAATTTATACATTCCTTGCCTTTGCGTATAACATTTTTCATTACACTAAATAGAATAATGTCTGTATATGTATATTTCTATTTAACTAGTACATTAAAAAGCGTTTGTTTTTCCCAGAGTATTTTTGCTCCGCACTATGTTAGAGGAAATTTGAAAATAGAAGTCGAGATTTTTTTGCAAATCACAAACAATAGAATAAATTTGGGAGGGAAGAAGTCTTCATCAATTTTTTAAACAAATTATAAATCGAAGATGATAAAAGAAATCTTTATCACTAAAATTTTCTTAATATTGAAAAAGCATGAAGTTCTGTTATATTATTTAATTCATTTAATATAATATTGGCAGTTCTAAGTATTTATTTCAATGAAAATACAATAACAGTATAATACATAAAAGTATATACTCGATTCATAACTAGTATGCTTCAAAAGCAGAATTCGATATTTTACGGCAAAAAAATATAATGACATAAATGTCATATTTCTAAAATTTTTTTAATTCCTAACGAAGAATGTTGTGCAAATATCCACTTTTCGTGTTGTGTAAAAACTTATTCAATCTTTTCTTACACTTCATGAAAGAATTGCATATAGTCAAGTGAAAAATTCGCGTTTCTTGAGGAACTATTTTTCGAAGTAGGAAATATCTTTATCCATTGGAAATTAGTATTCTTTAGTATGCAGACTATCACGTTTATTGATACACACGATAGGAACACGGAGATTGATAAAACTAAGCACCATACTTTTTACAATCAAGTAATCTGTTTGTCTCTATGTGGTAATGTACAATTTTAATGCAAGTATTTCGTTTGCGGAAGTTTCCTTGGTTTCACTTCGTTCTTCGAAAAACAATGTTCGTACTTAGATCATTGGTCCATTACATTTTATGCATAGAGTAAATTATGAATAGGGATAGACGGTTCCAAAATGATAATAACGAAATGATATTTTACTTCTATTTTATGCTCTTTCATTCCCAGTCAAATCATCTAGCTCTTCCCGCACATTGTTTAAAAATCAAAATAGTAAGATACACGTTTACCGACAAAAGTTAACAAACTTTACGTATCGTTATGATTTGAGTAAAATTTGATATTTCGATAAATATACGTCTTCTTAAATTAAAAGTACATATTATAGCGAAGCATATGACGCGTTGTTCATATTGCAATATTGTTTTATTTAATGCATACGACAAATAAAACGAATTATAGAAATAAACAGAATTTCTTCAAATTGAAAATTAAAAAATGAGCGTTTCTTAAGCTTCGTCGGCAAGTGTACGTAAATCAGAACAATCAAAGTTCAAAAATAAGTAACGAGCTCGTTAATCAATGAGACAATACGACTAAATTAACTGCAATCATTATTATCAACAAAAGGGTTAATTAATGGAAGTCAATATCACAGGTTGTTCAACATAGAAAAAGAGACAAACTCATTCTCAGTCCTTGTGCTCGCGTAGCCAAAATAGTTACTGTGGTATAGTCACTATAGCGCGTTTGCTCCAGGCAAACAGAAAATCTGTGAAACTGTAGCGGATTTCCAGCGCCAACTATCTGTCGTGATCACACCGGTTTCGAAGCTCGATTTAATGGTATTTACATCGAAACAGAAACTCTGATTAATCCTTAGCACGTAATCAACATTTACATCGCATAGATACAACGGTGTTTGAGCTTTCGTCCTGGTCAATAACGGGTGTCGAATAGTAAGGGAGGAGTTTTCTTCTGATCCTCTTGTATTCGGTGAATCTCTCTCTCTCTCTCTCTCTCGCTCTCTCTCTCTCTCTCTCTCTCTCTCTCTCTCTCTCTCGCGCGCGCGCGCGCGTTGAAGGCGACCGCTTAAGATATGTACCCTTATATCCAGGTGTGTACTCGTTGTTGATGAGACGTGTCCTCCTCTTGTCAAGACACGTGGCCGCTAGTTTGCGCGTTTTTCCATTTTCTTCCCCGATGATGGGCCAGAAAACGATCGTTTCCACCTCTCGACGATTGCAGGTTCAACGGTATTCGCGCCGTGCCTATTGAAATTAGAAATAGGGCTTGTTTGCATCGATACAAGGATTCTTGCGTATCGATCTCTCTACTAATCGCTTCCTAATTTATTTTCAAGCGAAACTTGTCGGATTACGTGGAAATCAACCGGTCGTTAGATCTATGGAGAAGTTCTATGATCTTTAGGTGCTTTCGGTTTTTGATTTTAATGACGGTAAGGTGACTATTCCTTTCTTACGAGATAGGTACTTCACAACTAACAATGAGTTGTAACGTATGAAATGTCGGATTTTATTGTTCGATGACTTTTCCTCGGTGAGAATGTTTTCAATAGTTTCTCAATCCATACAAGTTTCCTGGTTGAACAAAGTTATTTAGATGTTTAGCAAAACATCAGAAAAAGATGTAGGTGAAACGTGGCTAATTAGACAAACGTGTAAATTGTAAATTGTAAATGGCATTTTAGATACCAAAAAATCGAACATTTCACATAATACAACCTAATAGGATGATTTGTAACAGAATCAAACCCTTCCCATAAAACACCATGAATTTGAAAATGAGGTGGAGCAACAGTTACTTGGTGATACTAATATCGCGAGTTTAAATAATGAGAGCACTGTACCATCACGTAGCCAAGTTAGTAACAATATTTGATCGTTGGTTATTTGTATCGAGGCTACTCATTAGTTACCAACGAAGCTATGTGGGCGAAGGATACTACCCCAAGCAACAGTGCTGCATGGGAAACTGTCCGTAAGCTCTTCGGCTTGTATTGAACAGCATAGTATTACGTAAAATGATGCTATCCAAGACAAGTTGTAGATCATAAAGACTTTCCCAAATGATCCTATAAATTCCTTTACTTAATGATCAATAATTTCTCCTTATTGCTTCCGGAAACAGGGTGCCACTGGCGCGTGTTGAATTTCAATGTTTAGAAGGAGAAAGGAGGTAATGAAAGGTGGAATGAAACACGGGATTGCGCGAGAAAATTTGATCAAACTGATGGAGCAATCCATTGTGAAACGCTTTCTCTGTCCGACGAATGCTGAGTAAACTTGAAGTCATGAATATTAGAAATATGTATATCTTATGAATTTATAAATGCAACTGCTATTTTTATTGTAAACATAATTAGGAAACTTAATAAAATTTAGCGATTATTAATCTCTGATTCGAGAAAGACACTGCTCGCAGTTGTGTTAAATAATGTTAAACAATTTTGATTTAAATTACTTCTGAAATTAAAATCAATTGAAACACTAATGTATCATATCCTATATAATGTATTATATCTTCTCAATTTAATGAAGATCTGTAAAATATAAAAAAATGGAAAAAGTAGCTGGTGTCATACAACTCGACTTTTCAATTGTAATCTGATTAAGTGTTGATAACTAGATTGCGGATTACCATGCTAAATAAATATTCTGTGCAAAATACAGAAATTACGTAAACGTTTATTTCGGGTCTTAATTATTTTCAATTAACAGAAAACAGTGCAATAATACTTTCGAATTCTTCAAATGATTTTACCGTTTTGTATTTGATCGAGTAATTTCTGTCTTAAACGGATAAAATCTACAGTCTAACAATAACTCCACTGTTAATGCGATTAACAGGAACTAAATAAATAATAAAAGAAAGGGTGAATATGAAACATCTGCTGCAAGAATGCGTGTAAAAGGTAGCTAGATGTACAAAGGAACGCGTGAAAAGCATTTAAAAACGAAAAACATTGCGAGAGTAGTTAAAGGAAGTCACGAGCAAAGTGGAAATTCGAAATACTTTCTTTTCAACGCGGAAATCGTATTTTCTTTTACATTACGATACTCGAAGAACGTAGCGAAATGGTCTGTGACAGTAGACACTATCTTGTTCTTTTCATTGGCCATTGCCTCGCCAACGACAAAAAGTAGTACCGCCAATCGAGCGAAAGGATGCGATTGAATAACGTAATTAAGGGCATGAATTTTTATCTTTGCTGTTCAGGTACTTTAGAAGATCTGATAATATCCTCTCGAACACAACTGTTCTATAGAAGAGCCGAAGTATAATACGAGTGACCTTGTTGACGAACTACAATGATGTAGAATAACACAGAAATGTGTATTTACTATTGTCGACGGAGTTACGGCGAACTCGTAAATTAGTCCAACGAGTGATAAGATTCACTGATATGCTAATAGCTAAGCAGGCTTTATACCTGACTTAGGTGGAGCTTATGCGTGTAGATATATGGCATTCCATTTAATCACTGATTTGCACGCCCCAACTACTGTAACGTGACATTCGCTGCATTTTCGAGTCAGCTGGACATTTTTCTTCTTCAAATTTTACAAAAATTTCGATAAAATTTTGCGAAATTCGAGCATCTTGACAAAAATGATTATCGAGGATTCTGCAGTACTCTATAAAAGTCGTTAATGATTTTAGTCTTTACAGCAATTATTACACCACCTCATTTTTTAAAAATCGTTTCACTCTAAAGCTGCCTCGTGCAGGGATCTCAACCCTAACCATAACCTGGTTAACCGAGGCAGGTTACAGTAACCCCCGACAGTAACCCGCGGGAGAACTGCTCCTAAGTCGTCCCGTTAAGACCGGGTAACATAACCCAATCCGTAACCTGGTTATTACAGGAAGGTTATAAGAGCCGGTTATTAGATAGGTATACATATATGTATAATAGTATGTAACCGGGTTCGGCTCTGTGTAACCCGTAAGAGCGGCTGCTGGTAACCCAGTCAATCCGTTCTTGAAATCTGTTACAGATGTGGGATAAAGCTACGAAAAGAATGGTTGAATCTGTTAATTTTTTTACTTCGATTAGACAAATGTTGTCATCGAATACTATTGGAATATTCTATTATATTCTAGATTGCTATAACCTTTATAGCAATTATATTAGCTAGAAGAAAACCAATGAAGATATGAGCCAGTGGGCGAAATATCTACATATTATGAGTAAATAGCTATAAAATCTTGCTTATTGTTATTTTGTAACAGATTGCAGATGTACTTATCAAAATAATAAAAAAAAAAAATTCTAGATTGCAATTGTTTTAGAGGGAAATTCTCTTTTGTTTTGTTACTGTCGACGGTCTTGTCTTGATCAGTTGCGGAAAAAGCGCGCTTTATCTTCTTCAGTATGTTCTTCAGATTGTATCTTTTTCGTTTTGTTATATAATATAATGTACAATGGAACATCCTGTTCGTCGATATTTCTCATTTAATGTAAATGGATGTAAAACAAGATCAACAGTAAGTTATTTTTAATTTCTAAAATTTCAAGTCATCATTTCATCAAATAGACGCGCGTTATAGAAAAGTAACATGTCTCAGTTTTCTTACGAGGACTAGCACATTAGACTTTATGGACAAGAAAAAAGTTGTACGTATCGATTTTTCTATCGAATAGTAGCATTTTCTTTACATGCAGCGACGGAGACTAACAAACATGTTGTGTTTTCCGCTGCGAAAACTAATACATTTTAGTGGTTTGCCGCGTAGACTAGCACGGATCATTTTTATCCGCGAGAAATAATCCTAGCTGCGAAAAAAGCTGTTTTATTCTTTGCCGCAAAGAATGTCGCATTGTAGAAATTAATAAAATAGGTTGCTTAACACGTTCCCTGCCGCGTGGGGCGTATACGCCCCACGCTGAACTTTCCGTTCAAGCCATTTGGTATTATCATTGTAAAATGAAGAATTTTTTAAAAATTCATTATGCAGTCAATTATGGACATCTTAATACTATTGCTGATGCCCTCATTTAATCGTGGGGCGTATACGCCCCACGCGGCGTGATGGGCAATTTTTCTTTACTGTAACTTGTTTTAACTGCATTTCTCTTATTCCGATCAGTCATTTATTCGCGTGTCGTTGACACAATACTTACTGCTTCACTGAAGCTGGGATTGATTTATAGTTCTATAGTACTGTAAAAGTTGTAACATTCTGCGATAGTTCTGTGGATAAACCACACTTATGTTTGCCATGTTTTAACAAAGTTCATCGTAACATCCCTTTGTAATCGCATACAAACTTGAATTTAACTAAAATGTTATATTTTAAACTAATATAGGCATGATAAAAAAAATTATATGTGAGGATGCAACTCGCTTGGCATAATAATGATCAGCCAGGTATTTGTTAAAGTAATTCCTAGAAAAATAAATTTATTGGTTTGCTGTGTTATGCATGTTAAACTATACAACCTTTCCTTGATAATTATGATTTTTGCACTATTTTAATTATTGTAAAGCATACGCCAGAAACAAAATAATACAAATGTAAAGCGTTGGGCGTATGCGCCCCACGCGGCTTGAACGGAAAGTCTTCAAAAAACGGTCTGGCAGGGAACGTGTTAACATTATAATATCGTGAACATCGCACAGTAAACTCTTTGAACTAAAATAATTGTATCAAAAAAGCGGACGCAATAATAAACAGATATAAACAAATTCTCTAATGAATAATATTCTGATCAAATTCAATATATTCTCTTGGGATACATTAATCCGTCGTAAGAGCGGGTTAACCCCGATTACGCGGGTTACTCTACGTAACTGAGAGCAAAACCGGGTTTGGGTTAGGGTTAGGATCCCTGGTCTCGCGTCGTTCATGAATTCTAGATATTGTTTACACGTTAATAGGGCCTGCGATATGTTATAAGCAACTTCATCTTTCGTTTAAATGATATAGAAAATTTATTATCGATATGCTTTGACATTACATTGCCTTTCCTCAGGTGACTATAATATTGTGCTTCATGTTCTAGGTAAAAGTTCAAACATCAATCATAAGAATTCTCATATTTGTCGATATCGTTCTCTTAACATTATTTACGGAAAAGAATGATTGTGTATATCGTTGGCAATAATCAATCTTTTTGATGTATATGAATTCTTATATCCCTATTTCAGAGAATTCTTGCAAATCTGGAGTAGATTCAATGGTCCACGATACCATTTGTTCGTTATAAGTTCAATCGATTCGGCAGATTCTCGATAATTGGTACGCGATCGTAAATTTGAAGCATACATTCGTCTGACTTTTTTTTCTTTTGTGTTTTCTCGTTTTTCTTTCACTTCGTTGGAATCAGTACTTACAAACTATCTCGCGCGATCGCAACTGTTTTACCGTGATGTCGACAAACGAGTTCAATTTCGCTGCTTCGATATCGTTACCGTGCTCTGTGGTTTTACATCGATTTCACCCACGGCTACATCGTTAGAGATCTCGTTCAAATTTATCGATGAACCCCGTTTATTCGTTTGACCATCGTCGTGATCGAAGCGCGATTCGCTCGTGGATGTCGAAGACGATGTAGTGCAAGGACGGTCCGAGGACGTGCGGGAAGACGTACCGTTCCGTGATATCCTGGTGTTCGTCTGCGGACTTCCGGTGCAACTATACCGCGAGGTTACTGCTTCTGATCGGGACAACGCCGGCTCTAGAGGCACTCGTATCCATGGACACCAGGAAAAGAAATGCGCGAATCCTCGCCGAAATCTGGACAAATTCGGGACAGTTTTATTTCAACAAATTTTCTCTCATCTCGCATAAAATCATAAAATACAAAAATATATATATATATTAATTCTCTCCCCACCTCTTCCTCTCTCTCTCTCTCTCTCTCTCTTTCTCTATGTAAATACTTTTACATTTTATAAAATACAAAAATATATATATAATTTTGTACGTCACGAAACCGAGTAGATTTAGGTTGTTCCGGATCGGTTGATCCAGACAGGACATAAGTATTATATAAAAAATTTAGATGGATTTTAGAATTCTTAATACAACAAAATTCAGTACCATTGCATATGGTATATGTTTTATGCAGTTTCCGTTTCGTTGAAAGGTGATCTTGGCAGGTTTTTATTACACTTGTGTAACATTTAAATTTTATATAAGCAATATACAGGGTGTTCCACAATTATTTTAACAGCCGAAAATGGGGGGTAGCTGAGGTCATTTGAAATAACTTTTTCCTTTGCGCAAATGCAATCTGCGACTTTGTTTACGAGTTATTAACGAAAAACACTGACCAATGAGAGATGACGGCGCGAAGTTCGAGAGCCTGCAGCACGAGACTTTGACAGAAGGTCCGGACGGACTCGAGCTGCGTTCGAAGTATTGAACAAGTCACGAAGCGAGAACTTTCCGGATTTCTTTTACTACGTAACAGTGGTATTTTTAAGAAAAACGCTGTTCACCTTTACTTTAGAACCTCGTGTGTACCATATGAAAGTTTTATGCAAGGTGTACACCCTATAGTGGTCCACAACAGTGTTCGTACACCTTTTAAAACGCAATAACATTTTTAAAACTGGACTAAGGGACTTGAATTTTTCTCAGATGATAGCGGGACTAGACAGACGATGACCAAAATGCTTTCTTTAAATTTTGCTATTACTTGGAATGACAAAAAAAAATAAGTTCTCGTTTCTTAACTTTTTATCTGAGTCTGTAACGGAAATTTAAACAATGTCTCTCGTAGATCTTGGTAACTTATATGCATGTTGAAAATTTCATCAAAATCGGTTCACGCAAAAATAGCACACACAAGTTACCTGAGATCTACAAAAGGTATTTTTTAAATTTCCGTTATAGGCTCAGATGAAAAAGTAAAAAAAAAAGGGTTTTTAATTTTTTCTTTTCATATCAAGTAATATCAAAATTAAAAAAAAAAGCTTTTTAGCCATCGTTTAATAGACTAGTCCCTCTATCATATAAAAAAAATTCAAATCATTTAGTTCAGTTTTGAAAAATTTATTGTGTTTTAAAAGGTGTACGAACATTTCTGTGGGCCACTGTAGATAAGTTCGCAAAATTTCAATGTAATTAAAGTCAGATACTGTTTTAAGCAGTCTTCATTTCGCTGAAATGTGATTTTTTTTGTAGATTTCATGATAAGTGAATCGACGATAATCGTACAGTTTTAATAGCATTAGTGTTAATATCTGATATAATGATAAACTCAATGAACTGAGATAATAGTAGTAAACAAGTGTACGTGATGGCCATTGAAGCAGGGAGGAAATGATAGTTTTAAGATGTTATGGAACGTCGTGCAATATTATGAAATATTATGAAACACACTTGTAAGTAATTAGATGAAATCAATGTTTATCTACATACGATGACGCGTCACTTTATTTTATCACGTCCGTCTTACACGTTTACGAGTGTCTGGCTTGAAGTATCATGATCACGGTTATATCGTAAGAACTTCCGTAATTTAAGTGACAAATAATCAAAAAACTGTCGCGAAGTCAGTGGTGCTTATCTTGAACGATCCGCGAAAGTTTTCAAAGTCTAATAACGACGTGACGCGGAACTGTCTCCGTTGTGCTCCAGTTTTTTGCAAAGGCTAAATTGAAACGTTTAACTTGCATCAAAGTGTAAGTTCGCGATATTTATCCTGTTAATAGCTGGTCTTAATTGCAAATACGAAATAGCAAGTTTTATGTAAATCTAAAAAAATCGGAACGGATAAAAGCATGGAAAAAGATTTTAGAGTATGAGCACGTTATTTTCGAACAATTAAAACGATTCGCGTAAAAGATAAATTTCCATTGAACTTCCTTTTCGTACAAGTAACGTACAAGCATTTTATTTTGCGCAAGGATCTGCAATTTAGTTCGAATAATTTATCCGTAGAAAAACGCCGAGCGAAGAATTTTGTCGCGTCGCGATCGAACTATTTATCAACATTGTTCCTGCAGAGCGAACTGTGGAGTTACGATGTACGAACAGTTCAGGAAATATGCATCACCGGCGAGTTTTCAGAATTTTTCGTTCATTAATCAATGTTTCGGTTCTATTGTGCCGCTCGCCGTGAAAACATGATTGATTAGTTGTTTTATAAACAATGAACATTAGCATTTCGGTGAAAGAGATCGGGACATATCGATAAGCTTCTCTGTATATTCATAGTTGGTACGACTCAATGGAACGTATTCGTATTTTTATTGAAGTCTAGAAAGTGTTTCGGCAACGTTCGTAGACTCGTGGCATAAGAACGAAGAATAAATGGGAATGTTGGCACTGAAGATAAACAAATAAATATACTCAAATTAAACGATCTACCGCGATAGTAAAGGCAGTGTGAATTGTATTATGGCAACAGGAAATTGGTACGACGACGCCGCGACGGGACGTTTAGAGCAAAGCCCTTTTCTTTTACGTTTTAATTTAGTTTCTTTAAATTCGTCTTAAACATCTTAGAAATAGTCTATATAGACGAAACATCTAGATACATCGAATTTACAGTAGAAGCTACTGTTTGTGGTTCCATTAGATTTTCTACCTCGTTGCATCATTATCTTCAAGCGTACAGGCTGATTCACCTGAAGGTAGCCACCCAAGTTTCTCCTGAAGCTGTGATTACACTGCGGATTTTAATGCAGAATAAAAATAATCTGTATTAACCAGGTAGAGCTGTTACACGACACAAAATGTCATTTCTTCACGACGAGTATACTCGTCAAAACCAGCTAACTCGTTAAGAAGGATATATAGTTTAATATTCTTTATTAAATTATATATTTTATGAAAGTGTTATAAATTTATATATTTTATAATATCCGTAGAGTCCAGTTATAACGATATATAAAATGTTTTTAAGTCAAGGCAAATCAATTTAGCAATTTATATTTAATTTATATTTAATTTTTATGTATATTTAAAGAATTTTTGAATACAAACCTAGCTACACTGCTGCAAATATACTGTAGTCAACAATATCTATCACATAAACAAAAATAATTCTTATATTGTGGTTCTAGTAATTTTATTAATCAAAAGTGTATATTTTCTCTCTAACATTCTACAGCTGGTATTAAACTATCCTCCGTGTAAATATCGAAGTGGCCATTGGCTAACAAAATGAACATAAAATGCAGAATCACATTATCGCAACTGATCGAGATATTTAAGTAGCTACCTTTAGTTGGTCCACCCTGTATACCGGTCTGATAAGCTGCACGAACGGAGAAGCATTATTAGAAATTGCATTAGCGACAACTAAGATCTTATTATCGTGATAGCGAAAATTTCAGAAGATCCAACGCCAAAAGTTCAGGTTGAACGTGGTTACATCTTCTCGCTCGCCGAATCGGAGTGTCTCAGTGTTCTGAATCGATGTTTGGGACAACCTGTACGACATTAGTTTGGATAGAAGCAACGAAATATATATGTTAACGAAAGGTACTTACGTGCTGTTTAAAATAACGTTTTACCTGGAATTCATCCAGCAGTAGATGATCGGATTGTACATGCTGTTAGACATCGCTAGCCAATAGATACCCAAGAAAACTTCTTGGATATACGGTTTGTTTGTGATCTCGGGCAAGTAAGACACCACGATGAAGTACACGTGGAATGGTAGCCAGCACACTGCAAATATTACCACCACCACGATCATCATTTTTACAACCTGAAACAATCGTAGTTTCAATCAATATAGCATCCCCTATCACATTGTACATCTTGTTTCTCGAAAAGTGCCTTGAGATTCGACGACGATCGCAATTATGTAGATTAAAAATTTCTACAAGGATTTATCATATCATAATGGATTCAGTAAATTAAAGCTGAAGCGAAACTGTCGTTTCAGTAAAATCTACATTTTAAAATTTCTTGAAGACTTTAGACCCTATAAATGAGCAAAATTTGAAAGTCCGATTGAGAGGATGTAAATTAAAAATTCAATCGATGAAGGAGACAAGGGCGTAATTTATATATAATATATAATATAACCTTTAAACAGAGCTTGGGCATCACCTAAGTAAATGTTCATTCCGATGATTATTTAAATAGAAAATTATTTGGTATATGGAAGTTTAAATAAAAGACAAAAATAATTGCTTATTATTTATATAGATCTAAATAAATTGTTTAAAGTAATAAGAATTTCATTTCTTTTCACTTAAATTCGAATAAAAGTAACGTTTTAATTACAACACCAATCTACGAAACAGTTATTATACAATATACAACAGACAAAATGTCTTTCCCTAAAATCCAAATAAAAAAATAACATTTTCTTTGCAAACAATAGATAATAAATAAATTATTATTTGCAAATGAAATATTAATTTAAAGCGTTGTAAGACTAGAAGCTAGAGTTCATGACATTCTTATTATTACAAAAAAATTCTTCGCGATTCTCGAGGTGATATTGTAGTAGTGGAAGCAGAGTCCGGTCTCGGACTCGAAACAGAGGAATACACGGAATGTTGTGGAAGTGGTAAACTTCTAATTTTGACCTGGAAGGATTTAATGTTCTCGCTCCTGGGAGACATGCTCAAACAGAGAGCTTAAGTTACTTATTGTAGGGTCTGCCAGGAATGTGACGTCCAGCTCTCCCGTTGTGCACAGGATCTTATTGTTCTGACGTTAAAAATGGGACAGAATGTCTCTGCATCGATGACTACCACTTCTCCAACCACCTTTGCCGTTGCTCGCACTGCCGTGAACACCGTATCATAAATCTTTACAGTATACAGAGTACATAATAGAATGTATTAGCCTGACGGTTACAATAGATCACTCGTTCGATTTCGACATTTAACGGTAGAGACGCATCAAAGCTAGGGTAGCAATTCTTTATTGTTTTCTCTATTAGCGTAGTAATTCTTTATTCTTATTAATTTCTGTTAACAGCTTCTCAAACGGAATAACTATTTTAAAATTGGTGTAAATGACTTAAATTTTCTTGAGATGTTGGACCAATTAGTTTTCTAGAGAATAAGTATACAAACATTCTTTTAGATTGCAATTGGTTGAAATGGTACAAAAATTGAAAAATTATGAGTTGGGAGAAATGCGTTTTGTAGATCTATTTCGTAGCAATTTGGAGCGTATTTCTAACATAGAAATAAACAAACACGAAGTTTTATTAAGTATCGCTGAAAATGTAAAAGTAACTTTGAATCTGTAGTTGTAGGACTCCCTTGGCAGCCGAAGTGTTAATCTTTTAGGCCCGACGCGCCACTATAATGGCTTCTGCGGATATCATCTTTTAGAACGACACGCCACTATAGTGGCTTTCGCGGATGTCATCTCTCTGGACGACGCGCCGCTATAGTGGCTTGCTCTAGTAGCTCACTCGCTCATCGTTTGAACCAAATAATCGTCTTCATATGCATTGTTTCACACTTCTTTTGTCTTCACATCGATTTACAACAGTCTACAAGGTGTCCCAAAAATGTCTCGGAATCCGGAAATGGCGGGTTCCTTGGATCATTTGAAGCAACTTCTTTCTTTACAAAAATTTTCTCCGAGGCAGCGTTAACGAGTTATTAACGAAAAACAGTGA